GCCCTGGTTGAGCAGTGAACCCGAGGTGTGGGCACTGCTATCCATCTGAGTGAGATCTGCTGGGTGTGGGGTGAAGTCAGAGGGTGGGGGRCAGTTTTTTGGGGATGCAAGAAGGGTAAAAGGGTACGGGCTGGAAGGGAGTGACCCCAGCCTTAAGAGAGAGGCCCTGGAGGCCAAATGGGGAGATGTTGCCCGGGGATAGTGGTTTCTCAAACAACCCTCCTGTGCGACCTCTCTCCCTGCCCTGATGCTTGTGGGAGGCATCGCCCATCCGACACGGGGCTCTCCGACTCTGCCTTTGACGGTTCCCTAAATACGGTCCTGCTCGCCAGAGCCCTGGAGGTGTGTGAAGGTGTGTCAGGCCCACGGGGACAGTGTGGGGACGCGAGAGCCACTCGTGCAGTGGGGTCCGGCCGGCTGGGGCGGGGGTGCGAGCGTGTCTGGGTGGGTGCGTGTGTGGGTGCATGTCTGGGTGGGTGTGGGTGGGTGTGGGTGTCTGTGGGGGCGCGCACGTGTGCGCACCAACATCTGCCTGCGCCCGTGCCCGTGGCTGTGCGCGCAGGGGGCGCGGGCGGAGGAGGCGAAAGGGGGCCGGTTCTGCAGCGGGTGGCTCCCAGCCTCCCCCGCCCCCTTCCCTCTGGGTCTGCTCCTCGCTCCGGCTCGCATTTTATCGCAGGCGGCCGGCGCAGCCCCCTCTCCCCAGCCCCGGCCCCGGCCCCCGCCCACCCCCGGGGTGGAGGCAGCCGCKCCGAGACGCCCGCGGGAAGAAAGCAGCGTTCCGCCGGCTCCGCGCCCCTCCGCGGGGCCATGCAGCGCCTGTGCCCGCCCGCTCCGAGCGCAGCCCCTCGTCCCGCCGCCCTCCGCGCAGCCTGAGCGCCCGGCGGGGGCTCCGCGCCGCTCCGCTCCGCGCCCGGAGCTGGGACGGGGCCGGAGAGCGGCACAGGAAAGCTCCGCGGCTCCGCTCTGCTCCCCCGCTGCCCCGAAAATGGGGAAGGGGCTGGAGGGGACGGCGGCCCGCTGCGGGCTGGGACTGGGATACCTGCTGCAGACCGTGGTGCTCCCCGCTCTGGCCGTCCTGGGGGCCAGCCGCCCCGGCTCCGCGGCGCAAGGTAAGGCGATGGATGAACGGGTGGATTGATGGAGAGATGGAGAAGGGCTGGGACATCCTCCGGGTGCGGGCTAGAAATGTGAATTTATGCCGTGATTATTTTTTTCCCCGTGTTTGTGTGTGCAAACAGTGCAATCCCTCGCACGCACGACCCCCGCGGCGGTCTGGGGGCTCCGCTCGCACCGGCCGGGTCGGGTCCGTAGGTGCTGAGCCTGGCCAGCCCAGGCGTTTGCCTGCACTCTGTCCTCAAATGGGGCACGGGGAGCGGAGGRGCAGCTGGGGCTGAAGGAGCCCCTCCGGAGCTCTCCGGGGCGGGAGAGCGGCGCCGGTGCGCCCCGGAGCTGGCAAGGTGCGTGGGAAAGGCAGGTGCGGGGCGGGTGCCCTCCGCAGCGGCACAGCCGTACCCTGGAGCTCTGCGATCGGCGGTCAGTCTTGAACCCTGCATGGCCCCCCACGCCCTCCTTCTTCCTGCCTAAAACATGATCCACCCGAAGGGAGTCGCCGTCTTTCTGTGTTTATGTTTAGCGATTTTGTTTCCCCTCCCGTGTCGGGGACTCTGGAGTACATCTCGAACCTGAGTTCCCTGTAGCCCTTGTATAAATTCCCCTTTCCAAGTGACAATATCTTGCTTCTCAGTGCATGTTTAGGGATGTTAGAGAGCATCACAAAGGGCCCTGGCTCAGTGTGGCACCCACACTGGCTGACAGCCACAGCAGGAGGCTTTTTCTCCTGCACGCTGATGCTGGACAAACTTTCTCGGTGCTTCTCTCCTTTCTTTCCAAGAGTTAGACCTAATGTGGAAATGTGTTGCTTTTGTGCAACACTGGAGAGAGAAAGAGAGAGGTTGCTGCTTCATGTGGGCAGAGTTGCATACAGCCAGGATATGCAGGTTTGTTAAAGCACTTGGAAATCCCAGTTATATCATTAAAAAGAGAAATAGGAAATTTTAGAAGCTGTTTTGTTTGTTTTGTTTGTTTTGTTTATTTTCCCCATGTATGTAGCTGAGAAATAATAACACACACCAAACTTTTAATTCGGAGTTGCTAGCATAACGCAAGTGTGAGAATGCACTGTTTTCCCTACATCATCTCTGTGGAGAGGCACTTGTGAAAACTGCCCAGCTCTGACCCTGTGCTGTCACCGAACCATTACAAAGTGCACTCCTCAGTGGCCTTTTTTTTTTGTCAGGAAAGCAGTGCTGGTTGCTCTGAATCCCGGTGCCCCTGTCAGGCTTTCTGTGGGCTCCYCCAAGCACGGAGCTGTAGGTTTGCTGCTGGTGGGCTGGGTGCACTCAACATCATGTCTGTACATGTAACAGTGCTAATCCATTTCCTGCTGGTACTTACTCCATCCCCTCAGTGTCACATTTCCTCGCTCATTTATCTCACAGGAAGATCAAAAATCTGGCCATGAAAAGGGGGGTAACAGAGAACAAGAGTACAAAAATGCCTCATGCATGGGGGCACATTTAATCTGTGTCTTCCCTATCATTTCCTTTCTCTGGTGGGCTTTGTGTTCCAGACAGGGCAGGTTTGATATTTTGTGTTTAGGGGTTTTAATAGCACCAGATGCATGTAGAGCTGCGTGTCGGGGKGTGTGTATCAGTCTGTGTAGATATGGATAAATCACGTCAAGGGGTGTTGGAGGAGAAAGCTCCTCTCAGGCAGTTGGACCTGGAGTGGAGAGGAGGCTGCCTGCTCTGCTGGCAGGACACGGGAGTTTCACATGACAGATGGGCTGAGCAGGGAAGAGAGGACCCGCTGCGTTGGGCTGTTCAGAGCGCTCGTCTCGGTGCCACAGGGCTCCTACCTCACGCTCTCGGGTGGTTTCTCCTTGCCACACTTACCCTCTGTGACACAATGCCGTGTGACAGAAATGCCACGAGGGTGGAGGAGCCAGGCCCTCTGTTCCTGTGCTGCAAAGGGCAGCCCACGTGTGGGACTCGCCACAGGTGTGCTCACCTACCCAGAAAGGGATGGAGAGCTCTTCAGCTTCCCAATGTGTGATGTGTGATAAACTTCCACAGCAGAGTGAAAAATCCGGGGAATGTGGTTGGGATATAGCTCTTTGTCTTGGGCYTGTTTTTCAGTGTATACTTTTATTTTTATTTCCCATTTGCTAGAAACAGGCAGAGAATTTGGGTGCAGACCTGATTTTGGCATTTGTCCCAGAGCTGAGGGATTTTCTGATTGGTGTGTGCGGTGGGGATCTTCATGTCTGTGTGTCTGTGTATATGGTGCTTCAGTGAGGCAATGAATCAACAGTTTAACTGTGCCCTCTTCAGGAAGTTTCCTCATCTTATAGCACTGGGCAAAGTTTTCCCTCTGTTTTATTTATACATTTCAAAAAGATCTGTGTTTTATCTAAATTCCCTGACTATCTTTAGCTTTTGAAGCAGGCTAAGAAAATCATATGCATTGCTGGTCTTGTGCTTTCATACCTGCCTTTTCCTTTTCCATTGCCCAGCAAAAAATGAATTTATTGAGTGAGTGGCTGGTGGACCAACCCCCCTCTCTCCGTGGCAGATTCATTATCACTGCATCTCGGCATCCTCCTGTGAGCTTCTCAGCAAACCTAAATACACTTTTTGTTTTATTAGTATTTCTTATCTTCTTATCTGAAGCTGTCTAAGTATTTTTCCGCTGTTATCAGGAGAGAGCAGGAAATGGCTGCAATGGTAGAGACAGCCCTTAATTCTCAGAGCRGTGTGAATGGGGCCAGAGCGATTATCAAGCAGGGATCAGCTCTGGTCTGGCATTTACTGTACTTGCATGACAAGCTACATCAGAATGAGAATTTAAATGCCCCAAACGTGGTGCCCTTGCGGGGCATTTCAGTGCCATCTCCCTAAGAGCGGCTTTGCAGTCAGCAGAGGCTGGGTTTCAGCTGTTGTGCTTCCCTACAGCCCCCACAAAGTGTTATCCACTTATCCTGCGGCTCCCACCTTTTTGTCGTGTAGGTGGGACGAAAGGGAGGGTCAGGCTGTCTATCTGTAGTGACAAGTGTGGTTCAGACAGCTTTTGGGGTTAATAACGATGGTGTAAAAGATGGATAGAAAACCTAAATGGGCTACRTATTAATGAGGTTGTGTTTCATTTGTTGCTTTACAATAAAAGATTGCGTTTTTCATGCTTAACCCCTCAAACCTAATTAAATCAAAGCGATAATTTAAAAAGAAAACTGTAAAAGAGCCATATGTGCGGGTATTTGTCTTGCCCCAGCTCAGTCTGTGTTAGCAACAGCAGCAGTTTGAAAATGCTTAGTGYGGAAAAAGTGAAATATAACATGTGAGAGTATTAACCTTTTGGGGATGCATTTCCTAATTAAATACCTAAACACATCTTGTTGGAAAAAAGGCGGGGAAAGGACTTAATTATCTTGATGCATCAGTGGACCTCTTGTGTTTGATCATGTGGGTGTAGTATTTGTATTAATAAAGCGAGAGCCAAGTAGTATTTTGTTGTGAATGGGTAAGGCCCTTTGGAGCATTAATCTGTTTTAAAGTGATATGTGGTAGGTTTCAATGGACCAGTCTGAGCTGGATGTGGTGGCCTGTGCTGGTTCTGAGTAGCCTTTTGCAGTGCTCTTTGCTGAAAGCAAATTGGCCACTGCCCTTCCTTTGCTGACAAAGGTGCAATTTAAGCAGGATTAAAGTTAAATGGATGGATCTGTGCACAGAGGAGGGATTCCTCCCTGGGAACATGGCAGAGTCTGAGCTCTTCTTCTTCTGGCTCCAGCAGCTGGTTGCAATAGTTATGGAAAAAATACATAGATCACATAGAGGCTCCTCCTGATGGCTCTTCAGCACTGCTGTCAGTGCCATTTATTCCTCTGTACTGTAAAAATGCCAGAGTACATCTAAACATTTCCACAGTTGTTGTGCATGTTTGCACTTAATCATTTTACGTGAATCACTCATCACACAACTCTATTTTTCTTTGGTAATGGTCTTAAACCCTGGTTATTCACTATATTTTGGGACTAGCTTTGTGTGTGACATCCAAATTCAGAAACAGGAAACAGCGTTAACCAAATTAGAAAGATTTTCCTAATTTAATTTTCCAAATACAGTACATCTGAAAACAGGAATACAACTCTGTGCCAAGGCCAGGCAAATCAGTTCCATAGCTGGTCTGTGCAGTAGGAAAAGAGAAAATGTGGGTTATATTTATTAGACTTTTTCAGGTAAATACCTTGAATTTTATGCAGAGAGGTGTTTTGAGGCACAGTCTACCCAGTTCAGTTGGATAGGGTACAAAGCAAATCAGTTCCTATGGAAGGTAAGAGAAGCCTGGGATGAGCAGGACAGCAACTGAGTATTTCTGTACAGTATATGACTAGAACTTTGTGCATAAGTATAAAATAAAGTAGAGTTATACTTTGAAAATCCAAGCTACATTTATGTCATGCTACCACTAAAACAATCTTGGTTTTAGTAACCTGTTTTATAGTGTATGGTTGTATTTCTTGTTATCTGGTTCCTTCTGGATTTTTCATCATTGGACTTTTAAGGAATCAGTTGTGAATACTTTTTCTGCAAAAAGGCAAGAAAATTACTTTTGCAGCCCATTAGAAACAAAAGTGTTTGAATTGCTGGTGCAAAGGGCAGTTCCTGGGTAAATTTRCATCGCTCAGAGTAGTGAGCAGTTTGCTGTGATTTAGTCAARGAGGATTGGGCTCACTGTGAGTCTCAGACTGTTGGTTTATCATGGAAAACAGGTTACTGGAGGCTGTCTTTGAAATAAAAGTTAGTGTAATCGTGGATGCTCTGCCTATGCAATATATTATTTCATATAAACAAAAAAAATGGCATTGTCTTTGCTCCCTTCAGGGTGGGGAGAGGGCCGTGCTGGTTTGTAGAGTGCACATCTCGTTAGCCACCCAGTGGAGGTATCCAAGTCTAGCAGGCAGCGATCTTGGCACCGGTGCCAGCGCAGCAGCGATTGCAGTGTCTGTCATTGCGTGAGGCAGCTCTGCTTCACCCTCCAGCACAGCTCTGCG